ATAAAGCCCCAAATGAGACCCTTCTGGCACCAAACACACGTTTTGCCCATGCACACAGACATCCGGTAAATCCTTTGCTAAATTCTCATGGCTGCAGTTATTTGCCAACTGCAAGTTACTGATTCACGCGCTGACCCATTGCCAACTCCATTCAGAATGTAACTGCAGATACTGTTGCTCCTGCCTTTCTGGAACATTGGATCTCCCACAACGGTGTTCCTTCAACTATTATCGCCGAAGGAAGTCAACAATTTGATTCACGACTGTAGTAGCCTTACTGACCTCTTCAGATACTCTCGCATACGCACGACAGCGTACCATGCCTTATCCAACGGCCTACTCCAGCGTTTCCACCATCAACTAAATTTATCGCCCGTGCCTATGTTGATGCCCCTCATTGGAGCGAGCATATGCCCTTGGTCAGGCTCAGCATCGGCACCACGCTAAGGGCCGACCTGAAATTCTGGGCTGTTGAAACCGTCTATGGCACTACCCTACGGTTTCTCGGTGATTTTTCGAATCGCATCAAAGCTTAGCCAACCGGAATGCTGTTAATTATGTCCAGCGGTTGCATCAGGCAATGGCTAATCTCCAAGTCATAACCCTACGCGCTCTGGCCAGAAATCTGTACACTGACCCAAACTTGTTAATGTGTTCTTTTGTATTTAACCGCATAGGTACTTTCCGTAGCCCACTTCGGCGGCCCATCGACGACCATTTCGAGTCCTATAGCGCACAGACGAGGCCTTTAAAATCATGCCGATCGCACTGAGGAGGTCGCAATTGACAACCTGAAGGCGGCTTACATCGAGTCTCTTTTTTCTCACTCCAACAGATCAGCCTTTTGCACCCGCACGCTGTCATCTGCGATTTCCTCGCCTCCTATGCGCAGTGGTCGTCGTGCCTGTTTCTCTTTGTCGTTGGCGACTTGTAAATTATGCCTAATGCGTGCAAAATTCACTCTCATTTTGCATTTTCGAATTTCACTCCTCTAGGAGGTGAAGTATTGTAGCGACATAAAAGCGTATTGTTTTAATGTGCTTAAATACGCTTATGAACATGGACACACATGTAAATATAAATTTAACATCCAAATGCACTAAATATGATTGAACCACGGACAAGAAGTTAAGCGCATTAGGCAGTTTATCATACCTTGATGATAGCCTTAATATCTTGACACTTTTTATTTACTAAGAAAGGAGCTACTGCACAGGAGATGGTCATTTTATTTCCAAACGCAGCAAACTCTCCTATACAGGCAATTGCCAAACGAATGCTTACTTGGGTAATACAGGGAATATAAGTCCCGACCAAAACATCATGAAATGAATTCACTTCCAAGAAGAACGAACGTCCTTGTTTTAAAACCGATTTTGTCATAATAGAATTAAATGCGTTTCACAGAGAGCAATTATGTTCGAGGAAACTTCTGACTGCTGTTCTCCCAAATTACACGCGCACTGACACCTCGCTGACAAGTCCAAAATTAATCGTTTTACATTTCTGGAACCGTGAAACAGTTACCGACACACACAACTCATTAAAGACTCCAAATGAATCATCATGATTAATGATGTGCGGATGCTCCTTGTAACTGTGCAAATCTGAGATGCTCCTTCTAACAGGTTCTGCGTGGTTTCCATTACCTATAGTCTAAATCAATTGGACGATGGTACATCAGTATGATCATTGGTTGTTCTGCCAATGCTGCAGCGTATTCACTCCAACAGAAATTTCTTGCAGACCTGGTGCAAATAATTCGCAATAGGGTTCTGCCTAAATCCCATATGATATTGAAGATTAGTAAGGCATCACAAAATGTAAAAAGCCAAGAAAAATCTTTCCTTTTTAGGACTGGCATTTATCTAATTGATAGTCAGAACTCGTACTTAATTTCATAAACAGAGTATTAGAAACACGCGCACCCATATTAACCGTATTAACCAGTACAGCCGGCCATTTACTAATTTTATTTGGAACGTTTTCTTCATTCGTCTGGTGTGGCCATCGTAGTTAAATGCGCAGGTTGGTGAATCTGTGCGCGGCACCCAGCCAAAAAATCACCGAAACACCAATGTTGCTTTTGACTAGAACGGAGCCTTGAAATTGGTTAGTCTTGACGGGTACGTGATCAGGCATCACGCGCTTACCGCAGAACATATTGCTTCAACGCACAGAAATCTGGGAGAGTCGTATAACAATAAAATGATGGATTTATAGAATAACGCTGAGTATGCGTGCACAAAAAAGAAAGCAAATATGATAGGTTGGTTTTATCACAGTACAGTCCGTCAAAAAATACCACTTAAGATGATGCCTACTCTAGCATATGTTGCAGTGCTAACACGCAGCACAGGCTTGAAAATGCTGTACATGTGCGAATTATTACGACCCTATGGCACGCGAGTAAAGCATGACATTGATGTAGCAGTAGAGCGATAAAAGGACTATTGTCTTTATTTTCGAGACCAAAGGTATTCTATCGCACAAGGGGAAACCAAAGCGATTAGTAAACGCTCAAAACTTTTTTAATTCCGGTCACTTTCGTAAGGAGGTGTTTCTTGCACCGGACTTTGTCCACATGTTAGATGCCATTGGTGAAAATCGATCAGAGCATAAAAGCCGTTGCAGATTGGTTTAGCCCGTCTACCTGCGAGGTTTTCTTGAAATCAGAAATAACTTGTTCAGACGTGTGAGGTGTACTAAGTTGAACTAATTACGAAAATCTTAAATGAGCGATACAGTAGAAAAGTAGGGATGCCGTGTCTTACTCGAGAACGACAAAAACGGGTGTCTGCACAGTGCACACTGCACAAAAACTTGAGTTTAAGAACCAAGCGCACCTATTTTCTTTGCCTCAAATAAAGCCATTTAGACAGGCCTAAGAAAACTTTTTTAGCTTTTAGTAAGACATTCTTTGAGGTGCTAGGCAAAACTTTATTTTGCCAATTTTTGATTCTGATTCTCCAAGCCGTCGCTTGATATGCAGAAGATGTGCGAAAACAGGTAGACATTTAAGCACGTCCAAAAAATCCATTGTGCCTTGCCATTCTTGTCGATAAGCCATTGTTGTACGATTGCATCTCGTTTGGATCGGCTGTCGTCTTTTCTATCTTTCTTTGAGACTACTTTAAGTCGATGTTCCGATTAATGGACAAGTCATTGGACTATACTGACGTCAGAAGCTTTTGATCAATGTCAGACGGATAAATATCAACTAAGCGAGGTTCTTCCGAAGCAAACTTGTGTCCAGTATCTCGCGCACGCATGGCAACTTGGGACAAGTGGTATCGTCATATTTATTGCCAGTTGGCGTTCACCTATGCATGTGGTAGCCGTAGTCATGCCGATAATGGTCGCAAATATTAACTGAGATGCAACTGTGTTCACCGATCAGGTTACGGAACATTGATCTCCCGGTTATACCTTGCGCTTTAATCAAGAGCTTTTACCGGCAGTCGCATAACAATTAGCAACCTATGCAGATGTTAGTTGATCATTAGACCCACACATTGGTTTCCACACTTTAGCTTAGGTTTGAATGGTCAGGAGTGGACACTTCGATTTCCCTTGTTTTTCCAATACCCAATTATCTGCATTTGTTACAACCGCTTTGCGACTACCTGCAGGGGCTCCAAACCTAATCTTAAGGCGCATGAAGAAGCGCATGTGCTGTAACCTGGTTGGTGAGCTTCAGTCCATTATTATGCTTACATATTTCGAAGAAAACTGAGTCCTTTGGGAAAGTAAACAAATTTTATTTCGTAAATTTTCGACCATGGCTCACCAGGCCAATGTCAAATGTGAAGGAAACGTGATAAACACTTAAACTTTAAGTTCCGCAAGTATCCCCATGTTATAATAGAAAAAATTTATTTGGCAAACACGTGCCCTCGGTAACTCACCATCAGGCCGAAACAGTTACATATATAGAAATTGAAAGTATGCGAATTTCACAAGGTTTATAAGTGACTCAGGGGCTATAAACACTCATCGTTTCCACGTCATCCGCATAGTGACGTGGGTGTGCTATGGTCATTGGTAAATGGGGCGAGGGGGAGGTGGAGTGTGACATCGGCTGTGAGTGATATTTGTAAGTTGACTACGTTGACAAGGCTGAAATATTGATATTGCCTTGTCGGTGCTGCCAGCGGGTCGATGTTGGGGCTGGACGTCGCGTTTTGATTGGTCAGCAGTTACAGCGACCGGCTGACGGAACCTGCTCGTCTTTTGCTTTTTCGGACTTGATTTAAAGCTACGGACGCAACAGGAGATTGCTGACAAACAAGAGAGACGATTGAGATAATTATTTCTTACTTACTAGTCGTCATCAGCTGGAAGCACGAAATCCCAGATGCGCAGAACCTCTGAGCTGATCCCGGAATCTTTCATCACTGAGCCGCATACTCGTTATACTATCAATCTCGGTTGGATATATTAAACAAGGTAGGGGACTCAGTGATCGATTGCGTTACGGAACACACTCGCCCCATGAGGCTTCCTCACATCATCTAAAGCCTTACATGCAGTCATAAAGCGGCTAGAAATATTACGAGACGAAGATTACTGACAAAGACAAGGGAAACTGGGATGGTCACTTATAATTAATTAACTGTTCTCTGTCAGCATCTTCCAGTTAACCAGGCCGAAATCGGGTGTTATAAAAGTGGCAGTGCCACGTTTTACATAGGCAAAATATCAGTGCAATAAAACTATCTCGCATTTATCAGGATGCGCCAGTGTCTTTACTGGCGGAGCCTATTGGAAGGTCGCATCCAATTCCGTGGAAACCAGCTAGGTTGTGCGGGATGATCAATATGTGTGTGGCAAGCATAAACGGCCCATTAAGCATTGTCAGCTAAAAATACAACTGAACGTGTCGCGTGTTAGAAATGACTGGACGGTAATTTATGGAGTCTAGCCCTGATCATCCTTACAGAGGAGTGTGAGAAGTACATCCCTCCATTTTTCGTGGATTTCGTCGTCTTCGAAAAGTCTTAATTTTTTTCTTTTGCATGTTCAGAGTCCTGGAAGGCGAGTGCAGGTATTCGGTTGGGGCCAGGCCATTTGGTGGACTTTAGTCGAAGCGGCCCCACCCTTATTAGTGCCGACGAGACGTTCAGTTCCTACATTAAGGAAAAAAGGTGAAATTATATATAAAATGGCGAAAAAGCAGAAAAAGAAGCAAATTCTCGCGTGGAGTCTGATACCCACATTGACAGAAAATGTAGTCGGTCAGCGTGAAGGCTGACATTTCAAGCATTGAGTCAGTCCGTCAAATAAGACACGAAAATTATTTCGTCAATTTCGAGAAGCAGCCGACCTCTACCAAGGTCTCACTGCCTTTGCACTTGCTCAATGCGTGGAAAATATGCGAAAGACAGTGCTAAAAAGGCAAATCTGCATATAGACGAAAAGTATTTCAGAAATATTAGAGTCATTTTGAGGGTTTCAGGCAACACTCGCCCAGAGTATACGGAGGTTTTGCTCGCTAGCGTCAAGCTATTCCAATTGTGTGATCATCGTCCGAAAGGTATCAGAGACCAAACCATCGGGTTTAGTAATGCCAAATCTATGCGTTTAGCGGCATCGCGGCTGTGACCTATGTCAGCTTTGATTAAAAATTACTTCAAGTTAGATTTCAGAAGAAGAACACAGAAGGCAGCCAGACATTGAGCGACGACAGGTTTAAAATAGGTGTTAGGTAAGAAAAATCCGCTTACCAAGGCTTGAAAATATCAAAGGCATTTTGGGTGAGGGAATATCGACTAAGAGATCCGCAAGTAGACACAAACGGCCTGTAAACTGCATCACTACACAAACATGCCGCCATTGAATCAGGGTGATGATGATAGAATACGTGATAAAAATCAAAGTTCTGTCATTGTTGTGGCTGTTATTGAGTTCCAGTGAGGAGACAAATGACTTCGGGTTTTGACCGAGGTGATCAGGAAAACAATGAAATGCCAGAAGTCGAGGAAGTCCATGGTAAGCGCCGTCTGATAGATTAGTGACAAGTTGCTGTGTGAGGGAGCAAGGTTACGACATTTATGCATTCTGCCCAGTTCATGTCACCTAATGCACAGTAGGTGGGCTAACGGTGGTCGAGGGGTTTTACGAGTAGGGCTAAACACAGGATACAGAGAGCAAGAAGACACAGAAAATGGATAAATTTCTGCAGAAAGTCTAATCGTACGCTGTCATTTGGCAAAGAAAGTGAGCACGATAACCGAAAAGAATAAACGAAAAGCAATTTAAAAAATAACGGATTTTTAATAAGCGCCGTTAGTAAGTTTACATTTAGTTTGAAAGGAAACGAAATTTTAAACAATGAGAACGGTGAATAATAAATGATATTTACAGTCACACGGAACTTAGCGTATATATCTGGAGTTAACATGTACTTAGGCGTCATGCCAGATATGGTTACCTATTCCCTTTTCATTACTTATGTCCTGTAGGGTTTACATTTTGCATCAGAGGGTAAAGGGCCCTGTCAGAAAACTCTGCTTGGCAGTGGCTTTTCATCTTTGTCTAAATTAGCGGTGAATGAAAAACATCACTGCGTTGGAAATTCTACGCTACCTTTGCGTTATTTGTACTACACTTTACGTTATAATGCTTACAAAGAGATGATATTCACGCTTGCATGGTTTTGGAAGTTATCTTTATTGAAAACACAAAGTGGAGTGCCAAAAATCACAAGTTGTTATTTCCATCTTCCTAGATTTATTTTCCTGTCCAGCTTCAGATAACCACGCAGATTACCAGATTACATACAACAGGCGGGTTAACTCATGAAATGTGAACCGAAATTCCGATATGTGCTTTCGTTTCAAAAAGATTAATTAAGAAGAGTTGTAAAACTAATCAGCTGCAACATAATTCTATAGTGTTTCAGTTACCGCAGGATTCCGGCTTTCGAGCTATTTTCTCACCGATTTTTGATGCCTTGAAATTTCAAAATTTTTTTATGGAAAAATGCATTCATGCATTTGCTCATTCGGTAGAAAAGTACGTCTTCTTCCAATCATACACTCGAAAAAAGGGTATAGTTCGGTTTTCAAATATTCTTTCAATTCCCGAATAATTTTAAACCCGCTCTCCAAACTACAAGCCGTATATTGTTCGCGTATGGAAAATCACACATTTCTCCACGGTAATAAAGGATGCTATGTAGGCTTCATAAAATTAAACAGTGGATTTGATTCATATTGTAAACTTTACAAGCCACATTGGTAAAGGCAGATACATTACTATTTGCTAACGGCCATTTCACAATATTTAAAAGTCGCACAATTAAAAACTTTTTAAAACTGAATTTGGGCCCACCTTCGAATACAAAATTAGAAGACGTAATTCTCTACCGAATGAACAAAAGAATACTTATTTTTATACATGTTTTAAGTGAAATATAATAAGACATTTTGGAGCATCGGAAATCAATGAGAAGAATGCATACTAATAAAGTGCTGATTTTTACAGAGTGTCGTATTCGTATGCAGCCGGCATCCTGACATAACTAGAATATCATAGAATTATTTTGCAAGTTGACTTGTTTTACAACGCTACTTAATTAATCATTTTTTTGATTAAAAAAACATTGGCCTATTTTGACATCGATTGTGCTAGATGGCTGTGGGATAGATATTGGCGAGATATGCCGACTGAAATTTGCAGAGATCGGAATGGTTATTTCTAGTTAGTTTTCCCTCGTAAATCAGTCCTACAACAAATCTTCTAATTGGAGGTCTAACTGTGAGCTTAAGAGGAGCGACGAAGGATAGTATTCGCTCTTCCTCAGCTATCGCATTTTATTGAAAGATTGGCATTTTTCGACAGAAAATGCGGCTTCGGTGTTAAGAGTTAGTTTGAGTGACCTAACTCTGGCGCAGAATACCACCTTTTCCAGTTTTTGTCGAAGTGCTGCAGTTAGTAATCTGTAGCGAAATAGCTACGTACTTTAGCGTAAATCAACCTTTTTAAAAAACGCATTAGCCAAACCTACGGCCTGTAAAATGATTCTATAATAATATTGAATGTCATGCCTCCATAAAACATAATTAAACAGCTCAGTTTTTTTATGAAACTGTTTATTGGTAATATAAATGCGTAACAAGTTCTAAGGGAGGCAATGTGAGTTTAAGACTTTGACTCCTGTAAATACTGCAGTGATGGAATAAATGCGCTGTTTTGTCAACCATCCTGACCACTAGTTGTAGATCACACGGCCCAGACATCATCCATGCTCGTATCACCGTAAACTGCAGTTTGTATAGCTTCTTCGTAAGTCTAGATGAGAAGTAAAATGGTCATTTTAATTAAAGGCACAATTTGATTGTTAAGATAATTCAGAGAATATTGTAAGCAAACGCACGAGCAAAAACATATTTACCGCGGTATTCCAGATTAAGGGCTCTTTGTTAGGACGCGTTTTTTTGTCATACTAAGGCTAGCCTGTCAATAGGACTTTTAGAATGGACACCTTGGCAAGCCTATGCGTTTGGTCAAAAAGAGATGAAATCTATGATGTACTTGGGGCTGAAAAAGTAATTCTCGCGAAATAACCCAATGATACTTAGACGCTGGTCTACGATGATGGAAAATTTTTTAATTATACCGAGACAAAAAATGAAAGCTGGTCGTCCTCAGGTGACATCAGCTAACCCATCTAGTTATTTGGTGTGCGGGAAAGACGCTGACGCTGCATAAAATTGCATGTCTCACCGGGAGTTGGTTGGAGAGCTGTCGAATATATTTTGATGCCTCCCTGGCGAGAGCTATCATGACTCCAAATATCATTGCGCAATGAAGGATTAGGATACATCCCGCGATTATCATGGTATAAGGTCCTGCCGACGAAGAGCTGGAATAAAGTAATAGAATTATGAATTTTGCATATTTCGCAATTATCAGCGCAGAGTCTTGAAATATCACATGCATGTAATGTAAAATACCATGAAGCCAAAAATTATCGTCATTTAAAAATACGAAATTTTCATTAATCTATCCAACTGATGAGACGGCCTAACATAATATTTTTAACTAAATTACCTTTTGTTATTGCAGTCTTCTCCGCTTGCCGGGGAACAATCTTCCAAGCCGGTGTTCAGTAAACGCAACTTGTAGGCCCCCACAGCGAGCAAGATTATGGCGAAGATGAAAAGAAGGGCATTGACCACCTTACAACTTAAGTGCAACTTATGCGAAAGAAGTATTCTGTCCCTCGGAGACAAGCTGCCATCATCACCGTTGTTCATGTTTACCTGAAATGTAAAAATTACATTCTGAACAAGGTGACTCAGATTTTTAATTCAAATAATTAAAACACTTTACTGTCGTGAAAAAATGTACTAGGTCCTAAATTAAACGCTTAGTAAAACTACATGGTATCTGTTTGGAAGGTTAGTCATATGCAGTAAGAAGGAGATTCAGGATAGTTAAGAATGCCCTATTTTATCATTCGGAGTGATAGAAATAACCGCAAAAACATGATTCAAAGGCTTTCCAAGCGACCAAGAAGTTGAGATACTTACAGAGGACGTACGCAAATACTAACTGGGAAAGTTGAGTTACTCAGAACTTTTTGCCGTCTTCGCCGGCGGAATCTTTGCAAATCTGTAAGTACAGTTGGCTACCAATCTATTTTTATAGGAGCGTGCTAAACGGCGTCGTAGTTCAAGGTCATACTGGCTTCGGGCAATAACACACTCGTGTGTCATTCGAACAAGATGGGCCCACGTAAAATTGCGCTAAGTGACTCATTATTGAGGGTTTTACAATTCACGATTCCTTCCCACTGCGAAGTGAGTAGACTCCGTGACCTGGTCGAACCGCTGGTACAGTATTGGGAAAAACATCCATATTCTTAAATTATATGTTCACAAACGCTCACTTTCCTCAGGAAACCGTGGTTTGAAGCCCGAAGACAGTGTATAATTCTTTTTTCATGGGAAGATTGGTTTTTGACCTTGAACAGCACTTAGCTTTTTATATCAGGATTTAGACCACGGTGTTTTCTAACAAACCATCCGTGGCATCCTGTGCGCTGTTCCTATATTGTAATCTACCAACGGCTAAACCTAAACGACGTGTTGGCATAGATATTTATGAAACGGCGATTTGAACGGGCAAAATTTATCAGAATTTGCTTATTTAATGTCCTATCGAAGCATCAGTGACTTCGAATGTTAACCTTCCGAAGCTGAGAGTTGTGACCTGGTAATGCTTCCGGTTTTTTCTTGTCATGCAGCAAGACAGCTAAAAGAACCAAAAGGAGAGAGGGTGAAGTTGCCCTGTATTTCATCACTGCAGTTGAATTCGACTTCGTTGGAGAATTTGCAAATAATCATGGCCTGGGATGCCGTATCGTCTTGTTTTGGTTCCTAAATCTAAAAAATGTTAATGTTGTTGTAGTTTAGAAGCCTCCAAACCAACCTGTAGGGGAAGGCAAAACGGTGTTCATTCGTCACCGCAAGCACATTTAGAAGAAAAACGTGGTTGTTGTATGAGATTTGAACTCTCGTTGGCGAAATGAGACCTTACGATAATAACGAGCCATAGGCAAGGATTCCACTTTTAGCGTGTCCGAACAGTCAGTCAAATGCAATGGCCGTGATGTAACGTTCCGAATTGCTACAAACCTCCACCAACTTGGACTTTAAACTACGGTCGTATTGCCAGTCAAATTGACTACATCCCAATCAGATAAATGATCGCGGCTGTGTTCGCGATTGCAGATTAATTAGTGCTGTCGGAATCAACAACTCGCATGGGTCGGACCATGTTCTAGTTCGAACATTTTTGGAAGTCCACCTTTCACTCGCACCCAGAGTGTTATGTACAAAAGGTCCAGGTGTCAAAAAATCCAGAAAATTCAGCAAGCCTCAATAAATTGGATTTGTTTTCAGAAAAAAGCATACATCAAGACATGTTGAATGAATACGCTTCCTCAAATCTGCAACAGCTACTAGGCACAGACATACTTTCAACATTCACGTCGAACATGTGGACATAGTCCGGTAAAAGAAACACCTAGTTACTAAAAAAGATAGGAATAGAAATATACCCGATGTGAGCGACTACTAATAGCTTTGTACTCCCTTTGTGAGATAACATATCTCTGATTTCGAAAATAAAGGCTATAGTTCTTTTATCGATCTACAGCTGCGCAAATGACATTCTTTACTCGCGTGCCATAGGATAGCAATGATTCGCACATGTACAGCATTTTCAAGCCTGCGCCGCGAGTTAGCACTGTAACATATGAAAAAGTAAGCATCATCTTAAGTGGTATTTTTTTGACGCAGTGCATTTTCATAAAACCAACCTATCATCTTAGCTTTCTTCTTTGTGCACGCATACTCAGCGTTATTCCATTAATCCGTCATTTTATTGTTATACGACTCTCCCAGATCCCTATGCGTTGAAGCAATATGTTCCTCGATAAGCACGTGATGCCTGATCACGTACCCGTCAAGACTAACCAATTTCTATGCTCCGTTTTAGTCAAGAGCAACTTTGGTGTTTCGGTGAATTTTTGGCTGGGTACTGCGCCCAGAGTCACTAACCTGTACATTTACCTGCGATGGGCATACAAGGCGGATGGATAAAACGCTCCAAATGAAACCAGTAACTCGACAGTTGTACTGATACAAACGGTTAATATGGGTGTGTGTTTCGAGTACTTTGGTTATGAAATCTAGTACGAGTTATCACTGTCATTTAGATATATGACAGTCCTAAAAGAGAAAGATTTTTCTTGGCCAACTTCATTTCTCAATGCTGTCGGAATAGTCAGTACTAGATGTGCTTTAGGCACAACCCTATTGCGCATTATTTTGACCAGATCTCTAACACATTTCGGATGCTGCGAATTTGCTGCAGTTTGGCAGAATAACGAATGATTATGCCGATCTACCACTGTCTCCTTGATATAGAAAATAGGTAATGGTAAATACAAAGAACCAGATAGGAGGAACATCACAGATTTGCCCAGTTACAAGGAGCCTCTACAAGTCATTACAGATGAAGATGTATCGAGAGACCCTATTGAGTTCCGTGTGTCAATACCTGTTTTACAGTTACAGAGATGTGAAACAATCAATTTCCATTATCACAGCATGGTGTCAGTACGAGGGCAATGTGCTGAGAACATCCTCGAATAAATTCACTCTCTGAGGATAGAATTTAAATTTAGCATGACGACAAATAGTTTCAAAAAACGAAAAATCGTTCACCGTGGAAGTGTATTTCGCTTTATGACAATTTGGCTGAAACTCCTATTCCCTGTATTACCCAAGCACGTATTCGTTTGAGAGGTGCCTATATAGGAGAGTGGGTTGCAACGTCTGGAAATAGAATGTCCATTTCTTGTGCAGGGACTTTATTCTTAGTCTGTCAGGGTTCCACCCAGTCTCCTACAAAGACTTCAAGTCATCCCGCCTTTTAGCAACTTAGAAAAACTTCTTGATGCGCTCAATGCCCGGTCCGTGAATCAATCACCTCGAATGCGGTTTGATGTTAAATGTTTATCCGCAGTTTTGTCTTAATTAAAAGGACTGATTTGAGACACAATGGCAACAGACTTTTGTGTCACAACGATACTCCCCCTGCCAAGAGATCGGAATTCGAATGGACGAAGTTAGAGTAAATCAGATAACTGTTAGGCGCCAGGTCCACTGCGTGTAGGACGGGGATTTGAGGGGGAGGGTGAAGGACAATGTGCAGGGTTGTCATTTGTAAGCTGATGCTGGGAAATCACAGGAGGCACCGTTGCGGGTGTAGAACGCTGATCTGTTGTCGCGAGCGAAATCAAGCTCGGTAAAGCCACATCTAGACTGTGCTTTAGTGCGACCAGAAAAATCTCCAGGAATGCGTACGGTATTGTCGTAAAGAAGTTCCACAGCACAACATTCCAAGGCGGCCTTGAGCGCGGAATGGGTACCGATCCCGACGGAAGGCAGATCCTCACTGCACTGAGTGGGATTGTTATTGTTAGGGATTCGGACTGCACACGGGCAGCAGATAATCAGGTTTTACTGATGATAACTAGGCGTTGCTAGACTTTGTCATCAAGGTGCAGGAGCTTTCGTATCTGCCAATATCGAATACCAGGATTCCGTTCCCGATTGAGTAGCTGCACTTGCCAACTACGCTAAAATTCATTTATATAACACGATGCCTTCAGTCAGATAAATTAGAGAACACAAGTATGTCGTAAGTGACCTTTGATGAGGGTGTCGTTACTGCTTCATGTTAATTCAGCTACAGATTACTGCCTTGAGAAATATAAAAATATCATAGAGATTTTTCATCTCATGATAAGAGAATACATTATATTAATATTGCCATACAAAACCTTATATATGCCAATCGACTTCGATAAGACTGAGGGAGGTGGTGACACGATAGGTCGAGTTCACCCCTATTTAGTCAGATTTTTCCTACGTACTACGAATTTGGCGTGTGCTGCGGTCTGCCTGATTGCTCACATAAAAATTACCAGCAACTAAAAAACACGTTTTACCGCCCACACGCAAGGTCAATTTTCTGATCAATTTTGAAGGAACTCGATGTTTACATGCAGAAATAGACTGAGTTATATTCGACACTAGAAGACCTCCACTTGTTCTTCTTACCTTCGGCTTCATTTCGGCGCTTTATAATTTTCCCTGTAATCTATCCTGCCTTAATCCTCATCGGTCGCGTTTTTTAGGTTTTAACGACGCTGTTTCCTCTTTTCTATCAATACCAGTTCCATTTCTCACTCCCAGCGTCAACGCGCCGTTCGGCTTACTTATTTTTCTGCGCCTTGACCGACCGCTCTCTCACCAGAAGCGAGTACCACCAGTCGCCTGTTGGAGTCAGCGTTTTTAGCTGTGTCAGCTGTGGCAACTAAGTCTATCAGAGTGGACATCACGAAACGTCTAAACTCTTTTGAAGTTTCCTAGCTTCGTGCTACTGGTGTCTCTAACTCACAAAGTCCTTCCATTAATCGTCTTCCGAGGTCTTTTGCTGCAACTCCAGGCCCATTCACGTCTGACGGCTTCTGTCGGCGGGACTACACCTACGGTTCCAAGACCACGGTCTGTAAATCTTCCTGTCGTTACAAGAGATTCTCGGCGCAAATCTCACTTGCCGGTCAGTAGCAGCGACGAACCTGGTCGGCCCGGACTCTCCAAGTCATCTATTCCGCACTCTCGATTGCAGTTACTGCCGAAATTTCCC